AGCACTAGATTCATAAAACAAATTCTTCTTCACCTGCAAAAGAACTTAGACAACCACACAATAATAATGGAAGACATCAATACCCCACTCACAATGCTAGAGAGATATTCAAGAGAGAAAATCTAATAAACTCTGGAGTTATACTTGACACCTGACCAACGAGACCTAATAGATATACAGAACCATTCCACCCATCAACCACAAAATATACATCTTTCTCATCTGCACATAAAACATATTCTAAGATTGATCACACATTTGTTCATAAAGCAAGTCTCAATAAATTTTAAAAAACTGAAATTATACCAAGAACACTCACCAACCTCAGTGCAATTAAAAAAATAATAAAGAAATCAATATCAAGAAGATCTCTCAAAACTACACAATTACATGGAAACTAAACAACTTGCTCCTGAATAACTCCTTTGTCAACATCAAAATTAAGAAAGAAATCAAAAAATTCTTTGAAATTAATGAAGATAGGGACACAACTTACCAAAATCTCTGGGATGCAGCTAAGTTAAGAACAAAGATTATAGCATTAAATGCCTTCATCAAAAAATTAGAAAGATCTCAAATCCACAATATACCTTTGTACCTAAAGGAATTAAGGGAACAAACCCTCAAAGCTGGCAGAAAAAAAAAAAACTAAAGTTAAAGAAGAATTTAATGAAATTGAGATGCCAAAATCCATATAAAAGACCAATGAAACCAGGAGTTGGTTCTTAGAAAAAAATTAACAATACTGGTAGATCACTAGCTAGAATAATAAAGAAAAATAAAGAGAATATCCAAAAGAGAGCAATCAAAAATGAGAAAGATAGCATTACAACTAATTCCACAGAAATAGAAATATCCTTAAAGATACTATGAATATCTCTATTCACATGAATTAGAAAATCTGGAGGAAATGGATAAGTTCCTGGAAACACAATCTCCCAAAATTGAATCATGAAGAGATTGAAACTCTGAATAGACCAATATCAAGCTCTGAAATTGAATCAGTAATTAAAAACCTACCAACCAAAAAAAGCCCTGAACCAGATGGATTCACAGCAGAATTATACCAGACATACTAAAATGAACTGGTACCAATCCTACTGAAACTATTCCAAAAAATTGAGGAGAAGGAACTTTTTCCTCACTAATTCTATGAAGCAAGCATCAGCCTGTTACCAAAATCTGGCAGAGACACGATGAAAAAACTCAGGCCAATATCTCTGATGAACATGGATGCAGAAATTCTCAACAAAATACTAGCAAACCAAATCCAGCAGCACATCAAAAAGTTAATATGCCATGATCAAGTAAGCTTTATTCCTAGGATGCAAGGCTGTTTCAGCATATGCAAATCAGTAAATGTCATTTACCACATCAACATAATTAAAAGTAAAAATCATATGATCATCTCAATAGGTGCAGAAAAGCTTACAATAAAAATCAAACATACCTTCATCATAAAAACCCTCAACAGTCCAGGCATTAAAGGAACGTATCTCAAAATAATAAGACACATCTGTGACAAACCCACAGCCAATGTCATACTGAACAGGTAAAAGCTGGAACCACTACCCTTGAGAACTGGAATGAGATAAGGATGCCCACTCTCACCACTCCTATAGTACTGGAAGTCCTAGCCAGAGCAATTAGGCAATCAGGTATATATGCAAAGGCAAGAGAAAGAAGTAAAGCATACAAATAGAAAAAGAAGTCAAACAATCTCTTTTTGCTGATGGTATGATTTTATACCCAGAAAGTGCTAAAGATTCTGCCAAAAGGCCCTAAAACTTATAAATGACTTCATGAAAGTTTCAGGATACAAAATCAATATGCAAAAATCAGTAGTGTTTCTATATATACATCAATAATGTCAAAGCTGAGAGTCCAAGGGAGAATGCAATCCCATGTACAATAGCCACAAAGAAAATGAAATACCTAACAATACAGCTAGCCAAGGAGGTAAAAGATCTCTACAAGAAGAACCAAAAAGCACTGCTGAAATAAATGAAAGATAATACAAATAAATGAAAATACTTTTCATGCGCATGGATTAGAAGAATCAGCATCATTAAAATGGCCATATTGCCCAAAGCAATTTACAGATTCAGCATTACAGCTATCAAATTACAAATGTTATTTTTAAATAAATTTTTAAAAAGTTCTAAAATTCACATGGAACCAAAAAGATCCTGAATAGCCAAAGCAAATCTAAGCAAAAAGAACAAAGCCAGAAGCATCACATTACCTGACCTCAAACTATACTGCAAAGCTACAGTAACCCAAATAGCATGGTACTGGTACAAAAACAGACAGATAAACCAGTGGAACACAATAGAAATCTCAGAAATAAAGCCACACACCTACAATTATCTGATCTTTAAGAAGACCAACAAAAACAAACAATAGGTAAAGCACTCTCTATTCAATAAATGGTGCTGGGATAAATGACTAGCCACATGCAGAAGAATGAAACTGGACCCTTACCTTTTACCATATAAAAAAATTAACTCAAGGTAAGTTACCTTGGCTATAATGCTAAGCAAATTAAGTAAGCCAATTAATTCAAATGCAGGACGTCAAACTATAAAAATTTTAGAAGTAAATCTAAGAAATCTGTTTGTGATATCAGCGTGGCAAAGAATTTTTGGCTAAGTCCCCAAAAGCAATTGCAATGAAAACAAAAGTTGACTAGTGAGACCTAATTAAACTAAAGACCTACACAGCAGAAGAAACTATCAACAGAGTAAACAGACTACCTATAGAATGGGAGAATATACCCACAAATTATGCATCTGACAAAGGTCTAATATCTGGAGTCTACAAGAAAAACAAATCAACAAGCAAGAAACAAACAACACCATTTAAAAACAGGCAGAGGACATGAGCAGATGTTTCTTCAAAGAAGCAATCAGGCGAGAGAAAGAAATAAGGCTTCAAGATAGAAAAAGAAGTCAAATTATCTCTCTTCACCGATGATATGATTCTATACCTAGAAAATGCTAAAGATTCTGCCAAAATCATCTCTTTATTAAAAGAAGACATACAAGTAGCCAATAAACATGAAAAAATGCTCATCATCACTAATCATCAGAGAAATGCAAATCAACACCATAGTGAGATATCATCTATACCAACCAGTCAGAATGGCAATTAGTAAGAAGTTAAAAAATAAGAGATGCTGGTGAGGCTGCATAGAAAAGGGAATGCTTGTAAACTGTTGGTGGAAATGTAAAAATATTCAGCCACTATGGAAAGAAGTTTGGAGATTTCTGAAAGAACTTAGAGCTATTACTTGACCACGCAATTCTGTTGGGAATATATCCAATGGAAAATAAATCATTCTACATAAAAGATGCATACACTTGTATGTTTCTCACAGCACTATTTACAATAGTAAGATAAAGAACCAAACTAGTGTCAATCAAGTGTGAACTGGATAAAGAAAATGTGGTACAAATACACCATGGAATACTATGTGGCCATAAAAATGAATGAAGTCATGCCTTTTGTATCAACATGGATGCAACTAGAGGACATAATCCAAAACAAATTAACTCAGGAACAGACAACTAAATACCACATGTTCTTACTTATAAGTGGGAGCTAAACACTGAGCACAAGTGGACATAAACACCAGAACATTAGACACTGTGGACTGTTAGAGGGAGGAGAAGGACTGAGAACATGGTGGAAAAACTACCTATTGAGTACTATGCTCACTTCTGGGTGACAGGAAGCATACCCTAAATGTCAGCATCCCACAGTATCCCCAAGTAGTAAACCTGCATGTGTACACTCTAAAATAACAGTTGAATTTTTTTAAAAGGAAAAGAATTCCTTAGGTGCCCAGGTAAATCCAAGTATGGCTATGTTATTTTGGATTTGACTAGCCAGGAAATATGTGTTTGTTTCCCATTAGTTCAATTACCTGAAAAAAAATATTGTTCAGTTGACAGAGATCTATACACAGTTTGCTTAAGCTTCATACACTGAAAATACTCTTAACAATAAATCTGTATCAGTGTGCTGTGATATCTGAAGAAGTGAAATCCTAATAAATGTAGAACACCCAAATATAAAAAAAGCACCCATGTTTCTTTCTAATTATTTTTCAAAGTTACTAAATGTTCAAAGGTTACTAAGACTTGAAAGGGATTTCAAATTATTGCATAACAAGGTGTTTGCATTTTTTAAAATATTTTTGGAATAGTTTTTTACATCATTGCTAAACTCCTTCTCAAAAAGCAGAAATAGAATGGTATAGAAAGTGAATTAATGGGTAAATACGCTCTTCTCCAAGAGTATATGATTCCCTATGGTCTCACACTAGATTTGCAGAAACCCTGGGAAGTATTTTATTCCTCACGTTCATCTTATCACATGACTGTTTTGATTTTTGGAAAATGCAAGTATGAAAATATACAGTTATAAAATGATTAATTGCATTGTGGGACCATATATGCATCTTGAAATGGTTATTCTAATGAGAACAATTATCATAAGGGTATTTCTCTAATGAATGTCAAATGTATATACAATGATAAAACTGACTGTGTTAACAACTTTTCAGAAAAGAAAAAACGTGTTTTAATTGTGGCATAAACATTCAGTACATGTAATTAAACACAAACAGCTTGAGTATGTATTACACAATGTTAGCCAGATGGCAAGACATGCCAGTGTATGGCTCAGGTGACCTCTCTGTGGTCTTTGTTCTATATTATCTGTAGAGTTTGATGCAAAGCACAGTGAATATCATGAAATTTCCTGTTAGCCCAGTCTTTTTTGTACTAGGGATAGAGGGCTCAGTGGACCCCTTTTCCTCATTCCATCATTCTCATGTCTTCACACAGATCTGGAAGAAGGAAAGGGAGGGCTTCAAATATACTGTACCTCAGTTCATCTGCCAAATACTCTGCCACTTATGCTAGTCAGCAAGATAAAACTTGCTTATTTTAATGCTGCAGACTGACTGTTTTATATTCTTTTCTATTTTTCAGACTATATTTTCTCTGAGTCCTGATCAAGTGATACAAATGAGCTGCAATGGTGACATAAACTCTTGACTGAGATTGGGAAAGTAGCTGGAACACCATCTTTTTTTTTTTTACATTTTATGGTGCTTCTATTGGCAGAGTTGAGGAGAGTATCTACAACATGAGTTTTATCATGAAGCTTCACAGACACTTTCAAAGAACGGTCATTCTGCTTGCCACTTTTTGTATGGTGAGCATTATCATTTCTGCTTACTACCTGTACAGTGGCTACAAACAGGAAAATGAACTCTCTGAGATGGCTTCAGAAGTTGACTGTGGTGACCTCCAACACCTACCATATAGGCTAATGGAAGTGAAAGCAATGAAGCTTTTTGATGCCTCAAGGACAGACCCCACAGTCCTAGTATTTGTAGAAAGCCAGTACTCATCTCTTGGTCAAGACATCATTATGATTCTAGAATCAAGTAGATTCCAGTATCACATTGAAATTGCCCCTGGAAAGGGAGATCTCCCAGTGCTTATAGACAAAATGAAAGGCAAATATATTCTTATTATTTATGAGAATATTTTAAAGTATATAAATATGGACTCCTGGAATCGAAGCCTGCTAGACAAATACTGTGTAGAATATGGTGTGGGTGTCATTGGATTCCACAAAACTAGTGAGAAGAGTGTACAAAGCTTTCAGTTAAAAGGTTTCCCTTTTTCCATTTATGGAAATATTGCAGTAAAAGATTGTTGTATTAATCCTCATTCTCCATTGCTTCATGTGACCAAATCTTCCAAGCTTGAAAAAGTTTCTTTACCTGGAACTGACTGGACAGTTTTTCAGATTAATCATTCGGCCTACCAACCAGTAATATTTGCCAAAGTAAAGACCCCAGAAAACCTTTCTCCTTCCATCTCTAAAGGTGCTTTTTATGCTACTATCATACATGACCTGGGGCTTCATGATGGAATTCAGAGGGTTCTTTTTGGCAACAATTTGAACTTTTGGCTGCACAAGCTCATCTTCATAGATGCCATCTCCTTCTTATCAGGGAAGAGGTTGACGTTGTCCTTGGACAGGTATATTCTTGTGGACATTGATGACATATTTGTAGGAAAAGAGGGAACAAGAATGAACACCAATGATGTAAAGGTAAGGCTCTCTTTTCTCAAGTTTCAAAGTTTAGTGCATCTCCCAGCAGGGCTACAACTATCACAGTTTGTACCACAACTGAATTACCCAGGATGTGGGATTTATTGGAAAAGTCTGGGCAATCTAAGATTATTGCTCACCCTAAATCAACTAAGAAGATAATATATTTCTATCTGAATCAAGAAAAATAAAGATTTTACTAAAAGATTGAGTGTGGCAGCATCCTGAAATGGTTTTCAACGTGTATTTACAACTAGAGTAGAAACCATTTTGTTTAATTACTTTCCAGAAACTACCTCAGAAAAACTATTACTGATCTCTGACTTAGTTCATTTAAATATGAAATTAAAGTGAATTTGTCTTAATGATAATAAATATTTTCACAAATTTCAAAAATTACAGATCTCATAGTGGCAAGTTCAGATACTTTTGGAGGTCAAATATACAATGCATATTCTCTTATATTTTTCTGAAACTCTGAAAATCAATACTACTAAATATGAAGATCAATGACTATACAAGCATATTTATTCACATATAAATATGAGGATTTAACTTGATTTAAATGAACACTTCTGACACATATATGAAGCCGATCATGCTGCATGTAAATTGTATTACATTTCTTATTGTGTAAAACTGCTGCCCTTAAACAGAAAACAATTATTTGAAAGTTTTTCATTATTAAGAATTGATTGTGTTACATAAACCGCTGATTGTTTACTATTAATTAAATTTTAAATTAAAATTCTCTGCATTTATCTTTGTTTCCCATTTGAAATGACATAGGTTTCTATCTCTATTATGCTACATATTGATTTCTCATAAAAGTGAGACTTTTTATACATAATTTTTATTCTACAGCTTTGATATTTTGGTAGAATATCTAGAACCAAATCAGATAGCAAACAATATGTCTTGAAAACTTCATCCTTTTCTCTAGTCAAATAATAATAGTGTTCATAACACTAGTTAAATGAGCTAAGAATGCCAGAAGGACAATTAAATATTACTATAAGAGAGTGTGAAGACTGAAAAGAAAAAAAAAAGCCCGTATTCTTGGCATTATTTTAGTCTCTTCCTTTCAGCTAAATAGAAACTAATTAATAAAGAAGCTGTATTTAAGTTTCCATTAAGTCTTTGTATTTACTTTTGAAAGTATAGCTAAATTAAAACCAAGCTGGTAGTTTAGGCAGTTATTATGTGATTGAAGTTTATAAGCAATACATAATTCTTCCGTTTTTTTCATTTGAAATTATTTTGGTAAGAAATTTTTTCAATATGAATATATTTCTGATGTAAAATTGTTTAAAACTGTCAAATATATATTGTTATGGAATTTTTAAATATGGTAAATAAATCCCTGAGTTTTGTATGTAGCCCCTCTTTCCCCTAATATACAAAATACAAAATGCCTTTTGAGCTCTAGAAGTCAAGCTAGTTTTCAGGGGTATGAAAAATTAGAGGCTTATTGAACACATTAAAGAAGAACTGGCAAGTGTATTTTATGAATTGCTCATATTTAGATAGAAATATATTCCCTAAACTGCCTAAAGGCTTTTTTTTTAAATATGTTTTGAATAATCTGAGTTTTTAATTACTTCTAAATTGCACCTGTGATTGTATCCCAAAACACTAACTTATTGCAGTCAGTTGCCGTGGGAGTATAGTCACTCATGTATTCATTCTGTAACTAGTTATTAAGTGTGTACTACATGTGAAGCACCTTTTGGAACTTACAGATATAATCTTGAACTGTAGTCCATTCCTTTAGAATAGGGGTAAGGGAGAGTAGAGTCATAGGAAAGCACATTGTGCTGAGCATCTATCTGTTCTGTACTTCCTATGGCTATATCCCATACCAGGCACAGAGGCAGGAAGAAACTGTGACATGGTATGAAGTGTTTCATTTTCTGTACCACAAAAAGACAAAAAAAAAAAAAAAAAAAAAAAAAAAGCAGACCTAAGTTGAAGTATGCATTTGTCTAAGAATATGTAAGCTGCAAGCTACAGCCTGTAAAAAATCAAATAAGAAAATTGTTTTTGATAATTCAAATATTCCTTTAAAAAGGCAGGACATATTTCAGTTAAATTGAAGCTCTAGGGATACAACAATAAATCAAGTGTCTCATGGGGATGATAAATAGGTATATAGCTTGCAACATGGTATGCACAATAGCAAACATATCTACACATTTTATATAAATTATGTTGTGGGAAACACTACAGTGTGTGCTACATACCTGTAACTATTAAGTATGTAGGACAGAGTTCGAAGGCAAGACTAGATTGATGTGATGATTTGGAAGGGTGTAGCAGTAATTCAGGAAAAGACAGAAATTTCTTGAAACCAGGAAATTGGAGTAAGAATGGAGAAGGAAGGACTAAATTAAGATCTATTTAGGAAGTAAAATTAAACAACTTAGTAATTGGTTAAATAGAGATGAAAGAGAATATAATCATGACATTAGAATTTGTCATGAAAGAGAATAGAAGGATAACATTAGGATTTTTAGCATAGGTGAATAATTGATGATATCAACAACAGTAAGGAAAAGGATCATAGTGAAGATCATTAAAGGTCTAAATAAAAATTTCAGTTTTATTCAAGTGCATGGGGGATGCAGAGGTATTTCACAAGTAGTTGCCTCATAAGAAAAGTCTGGGTAGGAAATACAGTTTTCAAATTAACCATCCTATAGGGAATCATTCACCACATGAAAGTGTGAGATCAGCCAGAGAAAGAATTCATAGAGTGATGAGAGAAGATGATCAAATGTCGAATCTTGAGGAAAATCATCTTTTAGAAAATAAGTAGAGGGAAATATCCCTTGAATAAGAGTTTAAAAGAACAGTCAGAGACCAGGAGACTGAGATGCTACAGCTTCAGAAAGAGTGTAATAACCAGTATAAAACCCAACAGCAGGGTCCACTGAAGTAAGGACTAATAAGTCTCCTTTGGGAAAAGACAAAGATCAATGGGGACTCATCATTGGGGATCATTTTAACTGGTAGACTAGTAAACTAATCACTGCATGGATGTTGGGTTTTGTAAACTAATCACTGCATGGATGTTGGGTTTTTTTTCCTTATGTGGAACAGAAAATGTGCTCCCTTAATTAATGGGAAGATTTGAATTAGCAATGCAATATCAGCTTTGCCTGCCTAGATATTGAATAATATGAGTATACTTTAAAGAGCCTCAAAGCCACAAAAGAAACTGTGACATGGTATGAAGTGTTTCATTTTCTGTACCACTAAAAGACAAAAAAAAAAAAAAAAAAAAAAAAAAAAAAAAAAAGCAGACCTAACTTGAAGTATGCATTTGTCTAAGAATATGTAAGCTGCAAGCTATAGCCTGTAAAAAATCAAAGAAGAAAATTGTTTTTGATAATTCAAATATTCCTTTAAAAAGGCAGGACATATTTCAGTTAAATTGAAGTCAGTAAAATGTGTATGTGCCCGTGTGTGTGTGTGTGTGTGTGTGTGTGTGTGTGTGTGCGCGCGCGCGCGCGCACGTATGCATGCAAAGGTGTTTCATTGGACTATTGGATGAGTTCTAGTGATGTTCAAAATTTCAAGCTCCTTGTGATCTAAGACCTACCCTCAAACTTCCTCAGGGTTTTTGGAGAGAGAAAGTGATGTTTCTATGATTTAAAAAAGCATCTAACATTAAAGCATTTTAGTTTTACATAAAAGCACTTCACGACCCAGTGAACATTAACAACCCATATTGTCTTTTAGAAGCATTAGCTCACTCTTGTTGTAAGATCCATTATACCTTTAGACCTACCATTTCGTATAACGCTTATGTCCCAAGACAAAGGAGAAGCTGAATGGGAAGATTATGGAAAAGGGGGTTGTTCAGGGTTTTACTGAACTCCTAGCAGTTGAATACTCTCAATACATAAAAGAGGTTACATATCACTCCCTCCTGCATCTCTCTTCTATTTCTGTAGTAAGTACACATTCCTTTCAAACTTTGAGAAACTTTCTAAAATTCATCAAAAAATGAAGAACTTGCCCAGTCCCACCTGAGCTTACTGAAGACGTGACCGTAGCCCCTCCTGGGGTATCTTGTATCTGTTTCTAGAGGTACTCAACAGCCACTTTCCTTTTTTTTACTACCCCAGATTTTCCCACTATTTTCTTGCCTTTCAATATATCTTAACTTGTGTATTTGTGGATTAGCCCTTTAAAACATCTAAGTGGCCCCAGAAAAGAGGGCAGTTCTTAAATCTTTCATACAATGTCACCAGCGGCTTCATCATTATTTGCCTCTCTAATGGAAGATCCAAGAGTGCCCAGGGAAAAGGATGTGCTGAAAATAGATGTAGGAAGCCAGAAAACTGTAAAAAACTAAGAGATATCAAGCTCAGAAGTCAAACTTGGCTGACTTTTTAGTCTTGCTTGGGGCTGACTGTGCAAGGCTCTAATTGGGGTGTAAAGGTGCATTCTGTGCTGCTTGCATTCACCACAAATATTCACCACCCCAGCTAAGGGGAAGCCAGAGGCTTCATAAAGTCACTAAAAAATAACAACATACCACATTATTGGGAGGAGGGGGAAAACACAACTGCAATCAATTATTCTGTCATAAGTACACATAGAAGGGGAGCAAAAATTTTTCCAGACAGTTCACTATTCATGTGCTCTGTATGGATGTCTAGACCTGTACACTCTACATAGTATTAATGTTCTCCCATTTTTCTCTTAAACTCATATTTCTTGAGTTCCTGTTCATTATATCTGATGCTTCTTAACTCCTACTTATTGATATTCATTTAATTTTATTATGCTATAGAAGCATGTATCTGCTTACTACCAATACTTCAAATTTGCTAGATTTACTTTATAACTGAATACAGTATGCCTCATGTACTTGACAGGGACATATATTCTTCAATCAAGGTATATCAGCACAACATTGTTAACTACATTTTTCAAATCTGTCTTCTTACTGTATTCTTTTTTGGGGGCACGGGGATGAGGGAGAGGAA